GCCTGTGACTGATGGGGCGCCCCTGATGGTTTGGCGAGTTTTACGGGTTTAGCGGGTGTGTAAATGACTTTGAACTCCAGGAAGAAGGGAGTGATGAGCTCACCTGCGGGTTTATCGGCTTTTACGGGCTTGGCGGGTTTAGCGGGTTTAGAGGCTTTTACGGATTTAGCGGGTTTTGCGGGTTTTGCGGGTTTAGCGGATTTCGCGGGTTTTGCGGGTTTATCGGGTTTTGCAGGTTTAGCGGGTTTAGCAGAGCATGGTCCCTGTTTGCGCGCGCAATGAAAATGTATGTATATAATATATATATATATATATATGTATGTATGTACGTATATATATATATATATGTACATATACATGTGCATCTGTGTATGTATATATAAAAGTACACACGTATGTATCTAAATAAATATGTATGTTTCTCCATTCATTTACTTATTTATCTAGGTAGAAAAATACATGTAGGAGCCCTCTTCCACCAAGCCCGACGGACCCTGCCTGTGTTGGACTTGGCCTGAGCGAGCCATCGACAGCTTCGTACCTGCCAAGAGCCGGGGATGATGCACCAAGGAAGTTGCAGAGACACCAGCAGCCCAACTCCCCTCAACCCTAAACCCTTAAACCCTAAACACTCCCCTAAACATCCCCAAAACCCTAAACCCAACTCCCCTCAACCCTGAACCCTGAACCTGTCTGGCCTGTCGTTGATGTACTCAACCGCTGGTCCTCGAAAACCAGACAGGGGCACGACAGACACGGCTAATGCCATGACGAACGGAAGCCCGCATGAATATAAGACACTCTAGTACAGTATGATAATGTGCTACAATCTAGTATGATAATAGACTATAACCGACTCTAATGATGAAAAGAAGCCCGCCTGAATCCAGGATGGCCGTCCAAACCGACAATGTGTGCGGCTGGACCTCTGTCAACTGCAGGGGAACCGTCTCGCTTGATAACAACAATGGAGGAATGCTGATCAAGCGCGTGCCGCCTGCACAGCGAGAAACGAGCCCCTGAACCCCAAACCAAAGCATTCTATGGAGCTCAGTATAAATCAGTATGTAACCTGAGGGGAAGGACGTCATCTACTAAAACCATGGGCACATCCCGCCTGCTCCGTGCGCTCCCTTTCGCAATCCGTCAGGAAAGTTCCATATCGGTTCCTTGCTTCAAAGTTCGGCCAGAAACGTGCAGATATCACACGACAGGAAGCATTGACAACTTGTGCTTCTGAGCTCTAATCTGCTCACTCCGATATACTGAAATTGCGCGGATCGATGGCCGCAACCAGAAATGTAAGTCTGTCACATGAGGACTGAGCGGCTGACGCATTCCCCGAATGAAGGTAGCTATCCATGCAACTACCCTAAAGGCCTGGAGGCCTCAAACCTCTCAACTCTAAGGCTTCGATTTTTAGGCCCCCTTAGGGTGTAGGGTTTAGGATTTAGGGTTTAGGCTTTGGGGTTTCGGGTTTAGAATTTAGGGTCGCACTTCTCCCTTGAAAGCTGCCATGCATCGTCAAGACTTCTCGCGCGAGAAAGAGCAGGAGGTCGGAGGTGAACTCGAAGGCGGTAGGAAACTGTACGAGCAGCTGATAGACCTCAGGGCTCGGCTGGGGCTTCGGAGGTACCTATATAGTAGATACCGGGGCTTTGAAATACCCATGTAGGAACCCCCTTTTTTTGTAAGGCCTAAGCATATACTATATGACGATATAGGTACATGAAGCCCAAGGGCCATAGGGTGTCGGTCAAGAAGAAGCCTAAAGTGCTGCCACAAGGTGCGCATTCAAGCCACTGGAGGAAGACAGGGCTGTACCTGAGATGCAATCGAAGCGCTTGTCAGGAAGAGAAGCTTGCAACTCTTCTATTTGTCTTTGCTATCACCTGACCTGAAACCTTCCAGCCATGGCCTTTGCTTCTGTGCGCTGTTGGTGATCCCTCTGAAGGAGCTTTTGTGGTGAGAATGCAACCGTGGGAGTGGTACATCTAGCCCGTGAGATCTTTCGGCAATTGCGGCCAGCGTTGCTCGCTGGTGGGCTTCTCTCCATTGGCCAGCCGGGTTCGGAAGCGGTGTCCGAAAGAGCAGAACTCCTGGCGGAGCATCAAGGGTTCAGGGTTTATATCGTTTAGAGGTTAATAGGGTGAGCTTAGCATTGAGTCGCATGTGTATATAGCACTGGCGCTGGCTCATCCCCATGTTGCGCAAGCCTTCTGGATCAAGAGCAGCAGTCCACGCACCGTGCGGTAGTACGGGTCCATACACAGCATTGCAACCTTGATCTGGGTCCAACTCAAGCACTGGGTGCTGGCAACAGCCCTCTATAGTGTTCCCTGAGGCAGGAGGCAGATGAAACCTGCGCTGTGCGGTCCCAGCCATCAGAACAATGGATAACCACATTGCAATGATGGCTTTCCTGAGCGTCGCTGACAAAATCAAAAGACTTCGCTCTGTTTGGCAACATCAGATCCTTGCAGGGGTCGCACGATTTGCACGTACTTCGAAATCTCGGCGTTTGGCCGTCTGGCTCTAATACGACATCTACTGCTGTGTCTTTCATGTGGAGTTGTTCGGCGAATGTGGAACGGACTTCGCATTCTTCGAATCAAGTCGGGGAAGTACAGAGTGGAGGGTGGCCCCCTTCGTGTCTCGTGCTGTGGTCGGGTCTGGTTGCATCTCTGTTTGCAATGGGCCTTCCGCGTTTTGGCGCAGCTCGACTTGTGAGGCTTGTGCTCACTGAGGTTGCCCTGCAATTCTGGTGGTCCTGCTCTGTGGTCCTGCCGCCTGTGAGAATATTGAAGGACGTCAACTCTGGCGTTTCCTTATCTTACCGTCTATGGAGTCAAAGACAAGCCCCCCTGATGCCTCGTTCAGCTTCGACGGCTGCTCTCGCTTTCGCTCTCTCCATCTGACGCCGTCCGGGGGATAGAAAACAAAGCTCGACTCTCTCAGGTGCACACCGGAGAGTGCGAGTCTGCAGTCGGTGCGCTGTCGTGCTGCTGTTGCTGGGAATCTCTGTGTCTCAGCCCTAAACTGACAGTCTCGGTACCTGGGCTGCTTTTCGTGGCTTCAACAGGGGGTCAGGATGGTTTGCTTTACCGGCTTCGATCTGTTCTCAAGTTCTTGTGCGCAGGATCTATCTCGTGGACGATCATCAGCGCGCAGTTGAAGATAGCGCCAATCAGATCATACCTTATCTGCAAGCGTCGCACATTGCAATACTCAAGCCGAGTTAATTGGCGCATATTGGCGCATGCACTTGACAAGACCCATGCAATAATTACCCAAAGAAGAAGGTTGATGAGCTTTAACGTTTGGATACCAGGCATGATCTCCCGAATGAAGTTTGAGTTGACGAAGGTCAGCCTAACTATCGAAGGTGCAGCTACCAGAGATTCATCTGGGACCTGAGTTCAGTCAAAGCTCCAGCCAGAGTTTGCGACGTCGCGAAACCAGGACCCAACCTTGCACGATTCTTCCGCGATCTCGCAGTTCATCATTATACATTACAACCATGAAATTTGTATGTGATATATAATCCACTACAAATCATGTACTAGATATCATACATTAACAAATACATATCGAGTTATAGCCTTCCCTTACCTGCGTTGCAGGGCCTCGTCGTTGCTGAGGTTCGCCACGGCCTGCCCCATTTTCTTCCAGGCATCACCTCATGCAATCGGAGCCGCCAGAAGCCGCAGCAAAAACCATATAAGACATGCTGGAATGCTCAGTCAGTCCTCCAGCTGACAGGCAACCGGCTCGCTTTCATGCAAACAAGTGGCGCACAACATGAACGTTGTCAATGCCACCGAAAACTAGCCGACATCCGCTGTAGCCTGGACTGTCCAGCTGAAGATGTGACGATCTGCCTATCAAAGCTTGACCTTGCGAATGGCACTTTATTATGTTCCAGGCAGATGCCGTGTAAGGCAAGTCAACATTCACAGTTACAACAACAACAAACAAACAAACAAA